CGGGGCCACGCTAACACCAAATTGGAGGCGCTTGCACCTAAATGCCCCTCTGTGTGTTACAACTGTTTGCAATTCTGCTGTGTGGCTGTCGACAGGGAACTGTTGATACGCCTGCGACATGTCTAGTTTTGCAAAAATTGTGCCGGGTTCAAAAGTGTGCAAAAGGTGCTGGATAACTGGAACGGGGTATGCGCTAACCTGAAGATAGCGGTTGAGGGTCGTTTTGTAATCAGCACAAATTCTCAAACTACCGTCCTTTTTAAGTGGGGTGACTATGGGGGTCTCCCATTTGGCGAAATCATTTGGCTCAATTACCCCTTGCTCGAGGAGTTTGTCAAGTTCCGCATCCAATTTGGGGCGGATGGCGAAGGGGACCCTACGGAATTTCAGGCAGACAGGAACTGCCTGGGGGTCTACAGAGAAAGAGATGGGTGTGCCATTGTAGCAACCCAGCTCGCTACTGAAAACGTCAGAATACTCAGAAAATAATGTGTCTACATCAGAAGTTGAGACAGCATGGATTCCTGTGACATTAAGGCCAAGAGAGGGGAACCAATCTAACCCCAAAAGACTAGGGAGGGTACCATTAACCACCACTAAAGGCAAATGGCCTTTGAAGGTTTGGAATTTAACAAGGAACTTGCCTTTTCCGAGGACGGGGATGTTCTTGCCTTGATAGTCTCTCAGCGTGAGGTGGCACTTTGGTAGCTGTTTCTGGGTCAGTCTGGGTTGAATCCTTTTCAGCGTCTCCCAGGAGATGATTGAGAGCGCTGAGCCGGTGTCTACCTCCATGGTACAAGGTTTACCTTCTAAGGAGAGAGAGAGTTTAATCTTATTAGGAGTTTGGGAAGTGTGGTTGGCGTGGTAACACGTGTAACAGTCTTCTACTTGCCTTTGGAGGCTAGGGGATGAAAAAGACTTCTGGGATGGAACTCGTGCTGCCTGGCAGACTCTTGCGAGGTGACCTTTCTTGTGGCAGTTAAGACAGCTGGCGTTCCTAAATCTGCAAGACGCCCGGGAATGGGCACCCCCGCAGGTCATGCACAAAGGGATCTGCTGCGGGCCACTGCTGTTTCTCTGTCTCTCTCCTACCTGGGGCTGTCTCAGTTGCCTCAGACGATGGACATCAGCGGTATCCGGGGGTTCCGCTTCGCTCAATACTTCCTCCGAGTGGACAGTGGTAATGCCTGGCTTTGGTGCAGTGCCCTGAATCTCGGCCGTGGACTGCACGGATAGCTCAGCAGCCAGGGCTTCTTCCACCGCTTGGGAAAGACTTAGATCTTTCCAGGCTAGTAGGCGTCGTTGGAGTGTCTGATCTCTTACCCCACAAACGAGTTGGTCAAGAAGCATGTCGTCCAGGTAGTTCTTGAACTCGCATTGAAGCGCGGCTGTCCTCAGGGCTGCCATGTACTGGTTGATGGACTCTCCTTCAGCCTGCTTCCTCATCCGGAATGCGAAACGCCTAGCAATCTGGGAAGGTTTGGGAGAATAATGGTTAGAGAGTGTTTCTTGTATTTCGGTCCATGGGACTTTTTTATCTCACGTGGTGCGAAGAGTGCGGTGGCGGTGTCGAAAACCTCAGCGCCGCAGTAGCTTAGGAAGTACGACTTATTTCTGTGTTCCGCAGCATCTGCCAGGCCAATGGCGTCCAGGAAATGGTTGAAGCAGTTCTTGTAGGAGTCCCATTTCTCCTCACTGGGCTTAAACGGTGGGAATGCCTGATTGGCGTTCATTTCGGGACTCCCAGCCTCTTAGTGGTAAAGGCTGTCTCTCTGGGTGGTCGTGGCCCTTAGATTTGCGCAGCTTCGAGTGTCTCTCTGGGTGGTCGTGACCCTTGGGTTTGCGCAGCTTCGAGCACTGGCGGCTGTGGTTGCAACGTCTGAGGCTCACCCTGTGAGTTACAACCTCGTGAAGGCGGTTTAAAACTCGCGCCTTCCGACTGCAATGGCGGTGGTGGCTAACAACGCCGGAAGTAGCTCCTATGACTTCAGCTCAGTATTTCACTTGCTAGATTCGAATTCAAACGACAGCGGTTTGAATTACGTGCTCTTTTGCGAGCGGGGCGGCTGAGGCTGTCAGCGCCGTGACTTCCAGCTCTGAACGCAGCGGTTTTGAATCTCGTGCTCCTTTGCGAGCGGGGCGACTGAGGCTATCAGCACCGTGACTTTCAGCTCCAAAACGCAGCGGTTTGAGCTCGAGCTCTTGGTGAGCGAGGCAGCTATGCTCTGTATGCCGTGGCTTCAGCTCTTTTGCCCTCGGTGCTTCTGGTTGGCTGGTAGCATCCCACCTTCGTCGCCAGTGTTGTGGAGCGAAGGGACTAACGAAGCCAGACCAGAGCGTACAAAGTAAAGGCTTTATTCTGGGAATAAAGGGTTGTTTAGCCTGCCCGCTAACTAGGCAGACCGCTGGATAACAACAACGGCTGGCTCCGTCCGGCAGCCGGCTTTTATAGCCGATTGCCAAACGGAGCCAACCAATGGGAGCTGCTGATGCTCCCGCTTAAAGTGCGGACCTGGTTGGGAACTCCAACCAGTTCCAAGGACATAACACCAGCCTTTTAATCTCTAATAAGACTCTGATGGAAAAGAACCTTATTTGCACAAGGAACCAAGAACAACACAAGGATTTGCTCAGAGTAGTTTCTTTATTGTTGCTTGCCTATAGACAGAGGAGTCGTGCCAGACTAAAGCACAAATCTCCATAATTAGTAGATATATCCTGTGAAAAGCTAACAGATAACAGATAATCAGAGTTGGAAGGGACCTTGTAGGTCATCTAGTCTAACCGCCTGCCCAAGCAGGAGACCCTACACCATGAGACCTAAGAAGAGGCTTGAAAAGTAACAGCTTTTATTTTAGCCAAAGCAAAATGCTGGATGGACAATTTTTCACCGCAGAAAACATGCAAGGAAAAAAGCCACACCTTGGGGAAAGTATGACGACCTTTCCAGTGGTGGGATTCAAACATTTTTACTATCGGTTCTACGGGCATGGCTTGGTGTGCATGGCTTGGTGAGTGTGGCAAGGGAAGGATACTGCAAAATCCCCACCCCACTAACCTGATTTCCAGCTCCGTTATCCTGTGCAGGGCAACCAAAGAAGACCCAGCCGATCAGCAGGGACTCGGGAGGCAGAGAACAGATGGGGCAGGGCCAGTTGAGGTAGTATTCTACTACTGGTTCTCCAGAACTGGTCAGAACCTGAATATCACCTCTGGTCCTTTCATACCTTTAGAGACATCAGCTTGGTACCCAATTCTGACCCCTCCCCCACTCCCAATCCAGGCCTTCCTTTGGCAGTGCAGCAGAAACAGAAGGTCTGGGTACTTAGCAACACAGGTATTTACCTGATGTAATCCTGCCAGGCTATAAGACACCCCAAACCAGGCACTAAGTTATACAGAAAAACAAGATAGCAGGAGTTAGATCACTGGTAGAAGCAAATGGCAGAGGCTATTCTAATTCTTACAGGAGCAAAGCAATTCTTACAGAAGCAAAATAGCAAGTTCTACTGATTCTATTATTATGTCCCACTAGTTCTACCTAAGGGGATGCGGTGGTTCAAAGGGGATGCTTTGGCTCAAAGGGGACATGGTGGCTCAGTGGCTAAGATGCTGAGCTTGTCAATCAGAAAGGTCGACAGTTCGACGGTTCAAATCCCTAGCACCATGTAACGGAGTGAGCTCCCGTTACTTGTCCCAGCTTCTGCCAACCTAGCAGTTCCAAAGCATGTAAAAAATGCAAGTAGAAAAATAGGGACCACTTTGGTGGGAAGGTAACAGCATTCCGTGTGCCTTCGGCATTTAGTCATGCCAGCCACATGACCACGGAGACGTCTTCGGACAGCACTGGCTCCTTGGCTTTGAAACGGAGATAAGCACTGCCTCCTAGAGTCAGAAACGACTAACACGTATGTACGAGGGGAACCTTTACCTTTAATTCTACCTATTCTACTATTATTATGTCCCTTCAGAAAGAAGTGTGTTAAAACATGCTAGAGTGCAAATGCAGCACACATCTGCAACAGAGACGGCATTCAGAAGGTTCTGACCAGTTCTGGAGAACCGGTGGTGGAAATTGTGAGTTGTTCGGAAAACCAGCAAATACCGCCTCTGACTGGAGATTTTACAGTATCCTTCCCCTGCCATGCCCACCAAGCCACGCCCACAGAACCTGTAGTAAAAAAAACTGAATCCCACCACTGATCTGCAACTCAAGTAGTGTGTTTTTCAAACAACTGTGGGGAGGTTTCCATTTTACTTTTTCAGATCCATACTCTTCTACATTTTTAAAAAAATAAATCCAAACAATAGAGAGAATACACATAACTAGCCTTTGGATATTGATAATGGAGATCTTTAGTTTATTATTTGTAGTAGACATACTCAAAATGAATGTAATTCCCACAATAGTTTGTATTTTGGATGGAATTTGCATGGAATTCTTAGGGAGATGGGCGGTTAAGAAATAAGAAATATAAATAAATATCTATTAAATTTGCATTATATTGTTCTGTTCATTTCCATGGGGTCTTCAGTTCTGAAGAAATCTTTGAAAAAGATGCTGAGATTAGTTTCCTGAATCTCGAATTGTACCATTATGCATACTTTCTGAGCCATAACAACCTTTGGAAAGTTTTACAGTGTAAATTGTCTTTACAATAAATGGTGCGCCACACAACTGTGAAAAATGTAGGATAGAGTATTGTCTGCATTATGGGCTCCAATCTGACCCTTTATCTTCATTTTGTTGCCCCGTTCAACCGTCTCTGGTTCTGGGAGACCGCTTGGACAAGTCCCTGCATGGGCTTTGGGACAAGCTTTTTCAAATACTTGGTTGGAAACAAACCTTGCAGACTTTTATATATGAATGCGGCCCCTATCAGGGAATAAAACGAGCGGACAACTCACCACTAGAGGAAAAGAGGATTCTTGTATGGACAGTCTAGCGCTTATTCTTTTTTTTTTCTACTGCTCTTGAAGGATGGCCGCTCTGCGCTTCCGAGCTTGTCTCTCCAAAAAAATCGATTATGCATTCTTTCTGAGACTGCACGTGGAGTTACATTTAGAAGCCAGCGAATGCTGGTAAATGGGCAGAGAGTAAAGGTACTACTATGATTATTTTTATTATCGATTATATCGATTATGATTCCAGCGTTTGGGCTTTAAAGTGCAATCACGAGCTCCTCCAATAAACTGCTACATTACACGGGCGGGGTGGGGGGGATACTTAAGATTGCAAGGTAGCAATTGCATGAAAACTTAAATTGCTTGATTTATCTCAGGTCAAAGCGATCCTAGTGAGAAGAGGCATTCGAAGAAATCCTGTTCTTCCCAAAAACTCAGGCGCAACCTTTCTTGGTGTGTCTCTTACTCCCGACTTGGAGGGAATTGGATTCCAATCCCCATTATTTTCAGCCGGTGGAGCCACATTAATGCGCTGGCCAGAAATGACGCAGATCGTCATCCAGCACACCGAAGATTTTCCAAACCGGAGAAAAGTAGATGCAAAACTAGATACAACTACTGTTCTGCAGAAATAGATCATCTGCTTCTTTTGGTGACTGGGGCCGCGAAATGCCAAAGCGCAAACCTCTTTTCGTCACGTTGATAAGAAACTTCATGGAGAGCCTAAGTAGCCTCTAGAATAGATGAAAAGCATTTTTATTTTTCTGCGGACGAGCGTTTGGGCAAGTTTAGTATATGGAGAAAAGAGGGAAATGTACGACTCTGGAATTGTGGGTTGAATTTCAGCTTGTATGAGTCCTGGTCACTATGGCCAAATGGTGCTCTATCATTTGGGAACATTTATATTTGTTTCTACATTGAATTATATGTCAAAATGTCTTTATCCCGGGTACAGTGTCAACAGTTTTGGAAAAGTAAGACAGATCCATGTTAAACTAGTTAGGACTAAACAGAGCCTTGTAATATTTTTTTGAAGGGGTAAAAGTTCATATAACTGCACTGTATGCAGTAATTCTTCCACTATTTACTCCCGTTTTTCCCCCTCCTCTTTCTGGTTTTAAAGTTATATGGAAAGAGATCTGTCCCTATTTATTTGACAAAGAAGCTGACACAAAATTAATAATTTTAATATTTGAGCTGGTAATGATTGATTGGGGATGAAAAAACCACCAGTTTGCCAACCAGCAAAAGAAGGTCAGATATTTCAAATGTCCCTCAAAAGCTTTTATTCTTAAAGTAGGGGGTGAGTAATTATTCTGGGATCACCTTTTGATTTTTATGATCATGTGTATGTATTTTTTTTCCTATACAGCCTCTGTTTTACTTCGTAATTATGGAACAAGGAGGTTCCTGCTTTGAGTCAGAACTTGATTTTTGTCCTGAATGTGGTACTGTCCTGCCCCTGCCAGGTATCCAGGATAAGGTGATATGTCCCTGTTGCTCTTTCAGCATTGATGTGCAAGGTAAATTCTGTTTTGTATATATATATATATATATTTTACAGGAAAATTCAAATTCATAGGTACCAAATTCTAAGCATACTTTTTAGTGCTCTTTTATTAAAAGAACTTGGTATTACTTTCTATCTTTCCCATCTGAGTTCAGTCATTTAATACTTCCACCATGTATTTCTGTACTTGAAGCAATGAATGGAATCTCAGTTTAATGCACTATTAGGGTACCTTATTATCCAGTAATGAATATCCATTTAAATTGGAAATTATTCCTTTTATATTTAAATACGGAAACATAGTGTTTATTCTGAGTCCTTAATGTGCTTAATATTTCAAAACGGCAGAAGAGATTATAGTATATTGTTTATAACTAGAATATGTCATTTCATAAAGAACACAATCTTTGAAAATTTTATTTATATATATATATGTTTTCTGAAGTTCTCGCGGGTATTTGTATGTGGATCTTTGGTTGTTTGGGTTTTCTCCCGCGTAAGATTCGAAGTATCTAGGCAACGTTTCAATGAAGTCTCATTCATCATCTTCAGGCTTCTGTCTTTGGCTCTGGGCTTCTCAGAGCTGAAGACAGAAGCCTGAAGATGATGAATGAGACTTCATCGAAACGTTGCCTAGATACTTCGAATCTTACGCGGGAGCAAACCTGAACAACCAAAGATCCATATATATATGGATATATATATGGCATTCGGCTTTGTTCGGGTATTTTCCCACGTCATAGTAGTCGTGCTTTTAAAGTTGCAGCGACGTTTCAGCAGAATCTCATCTGCCATCATCAGGCTTCTGTTTTCAGGATACGTTTAGTGGCTGCTGTGCTTTGATGAAATGTTAATTTGAAGCAGGTTGGTGTGGTATTGCTGTCTCTGCAGCTGCATAGGAATTGGAGGTCACATAGTATTCTTGCTCTTTTAGTTTCCAGTTTCTCATAGGTTTTGATCTGGCTGTTTATTTCTTCCCCGTAGAGGTTTGATATTTGTTTTCTTAAGTTTTCGCGGGTACTTACATGTATGGCATTCAGCTTTGTTCGGGTATTTTCCCACGTCATAGTAGTTGTGCTTTTAAAGTTGCAGCAGCGTTTCAGCAGAATCTCATCTGCCATCATCAGGCTTCTGTATTGTGTTCGTTGAACACAATACAGATGAACACAATACAGAAGCCTGATGATGGCAGATGAGATTCTGCCGAAACGTTGCTACAACTTTAAAAGCACAACTATAATGACGTGTGAAAATACCCGAACAAAGCTGAATACCATACGTGTAAGTACCTGCAAAAACTTAAGAAAACAAACAAATATATATATATGTGTGTGTGTGTGTGTGTGTGTGTGTGTGTATGTATGTGTGTGTGTGTGTGTGTGTATACACACACACACACACACACACACACACACATATACATACAGTACATATAGTACATACATACATACACCAAAAGTGGTACCCTTGATTTAGAAAACTAGCTGTCAAGGAAAAGTTGTAATTTAATCCTCTTCCCGACAAGCTAGATTTGTTGGAAACAAAGCTTTAGTGATCATGTGTTCCACTCCAAATTGTGAGAATATAAGGAACATTATTGGAAATATAATACAGTTTGGTATAGAGGTTAAGGCACCAGGCTAGAAATTGGGAGACTGTGAGTTCTAGTCCTGCCTTAGGCATGATGCCAGTTTGGTAACCTTGGTCCAGTCCTTTTTTCTCAGCCTTAGGAAGAAGACAAAGACAACACACTTGAAATCTTGCCAGGAAAATTGCAGAAACTTGTCTAGACAATTGCCAGGAGTCAACATTGACTTAAAAGCACAAAAATAAAAAAGAAGAGAAATTGACACGCTTGAATTAATGAGCATTTTAATAATTCTTCATACATTTTTTTTCTTTGCATAGATTTTGAAAAGAGAGTCATCCATACATCTGTCACATTCAACAAAATAGATTCCTCTTCTTTGACTGCAGAAGAAGGAAAAGAAGTTAAGGGTCCACTGGTGAGTGAATGAGAAGGCTAGCTATTAGTTCCATTAAGCATCATAGGCATGATAGTGTCAATATGCAGATGATGTAAAGTATATAATTTGTGACAGTTTTCTTTATTTGCATAAATATGTCGCCCTGTGGTGACATGGGAAATAACAGACACTGCTGTGCCCCATCAAACATTTAAAATAGGCTTTCACTGTATTTTCTAGAAACAATTTTAGAAATATTCAGTCAATCTGGAATAGCTGCAAAGAAGGGAAATGAACACAAAAGTATAAATGAATTCCTCTGCAAAGAGTGAGTTTGGCACATTTACCCTTGAGGAAATATTAACTTTGTTCTTAGGTTTTTAAAACTTGTATGCAGGAGGTTACCCTAGATATAAGCTTTTATAAGGGCACCTCTGCAGCAGCCTGTTCCCATAGCCAAAGGACTTATAGGAATAAATCCTCAATTGCACCTTAAGGATTCTGCCTTACCAACATCAGGTTTACTGAACTCTTATTCTGTTCATTTCAATCATTTCAGATTGACAGAAAATGTCCTCGTTGTGGGCATGAGGGCATGGCTTACCATACTCGACAGATGAGATCTGCAGATGAAGGGCAGACAGTTTTCTACACCTGCATCCAATGCAAGTAAGAGCTTGTATATATTGCCCCCCTTTATCTGCTTATGATGACAAGATCCTTTATGTTAGGTCGCATTTGTTTTGTCCCAGCTATATTGTTGGCTTGTTTCAGGACTCAACATTAAATGTCAGGATTAGCCCTTAAGACCGTAAACTATTTAGGATTTATATGTTGTACTATTTTTATTCAAGGGTTATCTAAATCTATACAAACCTCTCCAGGAATATGAAACCGTCTTTTTTGGTCCACCAGTAGAAGCTGTGATTGTGGTAGTAAGGCAGAGGTTTTTCTGTGGTAGTCTCAAATCTGATAATAGTCCATGATGGAAATATATCTGAGTTCCAGGAGGACTTTAAAGACATGATTTAATTTACAATTCATTTTATCCCATGTAGTCCTCACTTAATGACAGTAAAGCAGTCATAAAGGACAATGGCCATGACCCTTAGGGGTGGAAATTCCAGCATTCCTTGTTGCTGTCATTCAGCAAATCACCATGGACCTCTAATACAATTCAATACAATTTACGCTGTTTATTCTTTAAATTTTAGGTTCCAGGAGAAAGAAGATTCTTAATCACCTTTGCCAAAATTTGTGGAAGACAGTACTTAAAATTCCAAGTGCCAGAGAATTATTTTTGGATGTTTATGAAGAGATGAGAACATTCTTAGGTGCTTTAGAAGCATCCTGTTTAAATTGGATGATTGGCAGCTGCAATCATCCAATTGCACAGTTCAAATGAAAATGGAAAGAGCAAAAACAGGACCTGACAAATGGCCTTGCAGAACTTCAAAATTCCTTTTCCTCAACTGTTTCGGTCAGTGAAAGAACAGTGATCAAAACATGTGCTGAGTTGCAAGTTTCTCTTTATTGCTGCTTTTATGTGTATTTATTTCCCTATAAATTCATGTTTTTATTGAATTTTACTGGTTCCTCCGGCTACCATAAGCTTATGAGTTTTACACAGAACTAGGGACAAGAGATCTTCCATTCTCCTTTGAATATGTTATGGTTTTATTAATGCAGGTCTGAATTCTGTTTCAAAAAAAAAAAAGATGATTCTGTGTGGGTGGTTGCTTAGCAATGAAATTGTATGAACTCATAAATCTACATTGTACAAAATGATCTAATTCTTCTGCTTTGTGGTTCTTTGGGAAATAGATGCTAGACTGCAATAGCAACTAAGTGAGCACGATAGGAATAATTTGTAGTCTTTCTTGGGTTCCATTTAGCACCTGCCCCCAGACATGAAGAAACTGCAAATTTTCTGATCTTTATTAATGTGGACCTCAAAGCCACCTCCTCTTCAAGGAGATGGGGCTGCTTGTGTAGTTTTTATATTGTACTAACTATAGATGAATAGGAGTCACTATTCAATCAGTTTACTTTTATTGGGACTTTTCAGGCAGTTTGCATCCTCAGTACTAAATGTTTAGTGTCCAATCTTTTAATCGGATTTGAACTCTCAGGCCATGCACTTCATGACAATTACAGTATTATTCACTTTAAAGTTATCTTGGCCTGGCTGCCAGTAGCCTACAGAAAATGTCTTATAGAAGCCATATAATTAATGCCTTCCTTTTCTTATATGCCTTCACATTAGCAAGTTTTCTGATTTGGGGCCTGAAGCTTCAAACCCTGTAAACAGTAGAGCATCTAGCATGAGGTAGTCTAGCTAGCTAGCCTAAATAATCCCAGTAACAACCAAACTTGTTGCATAATGACTCCTACTGGTCAGTAGCTAGCATAACATCAAAGTACCTTGAAGATTTGAAAATGATGTGAAAATTTGCTGGTCTATTCTAGTTGGATACCGTAACACTGTTTGATATGCAACCTTCACATCTTGAATCATTGTGGGACCCTAGCAACTCATATTACAGTGCTTGTCTTCCATTACTCTGCCCTTGGGTTTCCAAAATTTGATTTTTTAAAATTATATTCAATATGACACAGAACATTGGCTTGTATATTGAAAAGTGTTAGGGTTATTTTATTCCAATTCCTCTCCAAGGCATGAACTTATACAACACTCTAATTGGGAGGGAGGACAGAAGCATGTTCTTTGGTGATGTTGCATAATTTAGTCATTTGGGGGGTGGGCATCATCTTTTTGGATTGATTCATGCATTGGAGTGAAAGCAACAGTTACTATCTCTGACTTCTTCCAAATATCTGGACTACACTTGCCAGACTGATAAAGCAGTTTCCTTGTGGAATCTTGAAAAAGCCATTATAGTTATGCTTGTTCAAAGTCTAGCTGGGGAATAGGAAATCATCTCAAATACAGAAATGGGTGATCAGCTATTAATGGGAGAAAGCAGTTTGAATTCCAAGTCAGCAATTTGCCTGTAACTACTGGCTTGAATTATTAAAGTATTGAAAACTACAAGAATACCATCAACAGAAAGTTGTCACTTATTCCAATTTAAGTTTAAATGTTAGACATCTGATGATATTCCACACCTGAGTTACAGAAAGAAGAATCTTCTGTCAAGGATTGCCTGCATTTTGAGATTCTATAACTGCTTCACAAATTCCTGGTGCTGTGTGCAGAAATAGTCTCTAGGAAAAAAGAGTTCCTCAGTGGACCATTTGGAAATTATGTGCAAAGTGGATCTGATCAGAAACTAGCATCTTAATCCTAAAGCATCTTTAGGCAACATCCCTTCAAAAGTCAATGCTTAAGGGAGCACATTTATGCTTGCATAAACGGACAATGAAATTAACTGATCTTGTATTTTTTATTCCAATTATGTCAGGTAAATGTCAGGCTACATTGTGACAATTTGTTTTGTTACTTTTAGGTTAAGCTAGATAGACTTAATGGTCTGTTTCACTGAAAAATCTTTTGACGTTTTAACTCAAACATTTATGAAGTAGGATTTGGTGAGTCAGCATTTGGAACAGATACTTAAAAGGCTACAGGATTCTTTGTCATCAAACTCTAGTCTAGACATTGCCCCTTAAATAGAATTCTGCTGTTCTAATGTATTTATTTGTCAAACAAAAATTCCAAATTCAAAAAATCAAAATGTGACAGGCCCCCTTAGGGACCTCTTTACATGGAATGAGGTCCACGGGAGTTAAGTTAGAATTAAAGCTGTGGAAATTAATGGCTCCCACAGTTGAATCAGATAAGAGACTTCGACAACTCTGTTATACAAAAAACGAAATTTTCACAATCGAGTTTCTATGGTCATTCTCCGGTAAAAGCTTCGGGGCTGCCATAAACAAAAATCTGTCTTTTTGTCGAATCCAAAACGGGTTATTTCATGCCGGAGTTGGAAGGGACCTTATAGGTCATCTAGTCCAACCACCTCCTACACCATTTCTGACAGATGGCAGTCCATTATCGCTACAGAACCAAGCCCCGCCACCACAAGAGCATAGGGAAACCAAGGATTGCTGAAAGGAAACCTCCAGGGTCTCCTGCTTGGGCAGGGGGTTACACTAGACGATCTACAAGGTCCCTTCCAACTCTGTTAAATCTGTTTAAAAATCAGTTTCCAACGCGCTCAGCCGATTCCTTCTATTTTTTTTTTTGAACACCGGAAGTGAGCTTGGAATCTCCACGGGGACCGGTTAAAGCAACGCACATGCACCGGAAGTAGGAAGTGGGTTTGGAAATCGACGGCTGCTCCCGCTGCGAGGGAGAGGCGGTGACTGCAGCGTGAGGGCGGGTGCTGCGGCTGAACAGGCGCCGGGAGCTTACCAGAGGCCGGGGTGGGCTCCGCCGAGCCCTGGAGCGGGGGCTCCAACGGATATTCTCCCCTCCCGCGCAAAGCAGCTCCATCCGCGGCCGGCCTCTTCGCCGCAGCATGGCCGAGTCGACTTCTAGCGTGGGAGCGACCACGACGGTCACCGAGACGGAGGTGACTGAGCCGGTGAGGAAAGGGCCGGGGGGGGGGGGGGGGGGGGGGGGGGGGGGGGGGGGCGGAGGGGCAGCCGGCGTCATGGCAACCATGATGACGATGGAGGAGAGGGAGAAGCCCCGCCCGCGGAGCCTCGGCGCCTGCGGTTGTCGTGGCAACCACCAAGCGGGGGGGGGATGGCGGGGGGCTTCGGTGGCGGCGAGAAGGCCTGTGATGGAAGAGAAAGCTTGGGATCACTTGGACGGCCAATGGCTTTACGTAGCGGCGGGCAGGTCTTTTGTCAGGTAGCCTGAAGGTCTTGGGTCCCTGAAGAGCATCTGGATGGCAGAAAGCCTCCGAGGGTGGGGAAGCCCCAAGTCCTGGAAACGCCTCGCTAACAGGATCAATGGGAACGGAGCCCATTGAATCTTTTAATTGGGTTTGCCTAAAAAAACCGGAGGAGATTTGGAAATAGCGGCTTCTGTCTCTGAATATGAATTAGCGCTAGCAAATAAGTCTGTGGAGCTTCCCAAAGGTGCTTTTTTTTTTCTTCCAAGAGGCAACTGGACTTTCTGGTTTTTCTTTGAAGACGTTTCACTTTCCATCCAAGAAACTTCTTCAGCTCTGACTGGATGGTGGGAAAAGGATTTATATCCCTTGCAGACAGCTGGTCATTTGAATCCTTTTAGAGGGTCCTTGAAGCACTTGGGAGGTTTATCTGTGTCCTCAGGGTCTCTTACAGACTTTTAGAATACAGATACAAACTGAGCATCTCTACAGACTTTTAGCTATACAGTTTGGGTTGAACACCCTTTGAATGGTGTGGGACTAGGAATGGATTTCCAGAGGAAAAAGTGCAGACTACAGGAACTAGGAGCGCTACTCAGTTAACCCTGAGGACACACATAAACCTCCAAGTGGCCTCCATGACCCTCTAAACAGATGCAAATGACCAGCTGTCTGCAAGGGATATAAATCCTTCTATTTCCCCACTATCCTGTCAGAGCTGAAGAAGCTTCTTGGATGAGAAACAAAATGTCTTCAAAGAAAAAACAAGAAAGTCCAGTTGCCTCCTGAAAAAGCACTTTTGGGATAATGCTAGCAATAGCACTTAAGACTGCTTCATAGGGCTTTCCAGCCCTCTCTAAACGGTTTTAGAGTCGTAAGAATTTTACCTCCAGCCAACTGGGTCCTCCTTTTATCGACCTCCGAAGGATGGTTTGAATGCATCACAAGCTATGAAGGCATATTGATTTGAAATTCTCTGATTCAGAGTATGGTTTGATCAAATTATTGTTTGAATTTAGAAATGAATTCAATGATAAACTTAATTCAGAGATTCAGCTGAGCCCTGATAAACTAAATTGCCAAAAAGAGTATTTGTGCAGGCCTATGGATCAGAAGCTAGGGCTTTGCTGTGATCCAGTAGTATTGCTAATGCAATCGAAATTATTTTAGGGATGTACTTTGTGTGTGAGTAACATATAATATAATATATATATGTTTTCTTAAGTTTTCGTGGGTATTTATATGTATGGTATTCAGCTTTGTTCAGATATTTTCCCACGTCATTATTGTGTTTTTAAAGTTGTAGCAACGTTTCGGCAGAATCTCATCTGCCATCATCAGGCTTCTGTATAGTGTTCGTCTGACAATACACTATGCAGACAAACACAATACAGAAGCCTGATGATGGCAGATGAGATTCTGCCAAAATGTTGCTACAACTTTAAAAGCACAACTATAATGACGTGGGAAAATACCCGAACAAAGCTGAATACCATCCATCCATCCATCCATCCATCCATCCATACACATATAGAGATATAGATATATAAAAACTGCCTTCAAAGTCATTATTTGTTGTTTACATCTACCTTGGATATTGCAAGAGGCTCAGAGAATTTGGCTCAGGATCACCTAGGCCACCTACAGTATTTTTTCAATTACAGATGGTCCTCGACTTACAACCAGCCGCTTATTGACCATGTTACAATAGACCTATCTTGGGCTTATTTATGGTTATTACGTGACTTTGGTTTTGCTGAAAACCAGCATTTCCTTTTTTTTATTGTGCCCATAGTGAACCATTGGTTTGCTTAATGACTAAGGCAAAAATGATTGTAAAATCAAGTTGGTCATGTGAGAATTATGTGACGAGTCAACTCACAACTTATGGCCATGATGGACAGGTTCCATTATGGTTGTTAAGGACTGCCTATGGAACTCAAATGAAAGCTGTGCACTTTTTCAAAATTGTGGATGATTTTGTAGATTATTGATGAGTAGATGTATCATATCAAGCATATCATTTAAATTTTTTTCTATATTAAGATATAGTATTTTGTGTTAAGAAGAAATGTTGTGCTAAATGCCCTGATGTGATACTGGATAAAATAGTAAAGTACCACATTGTGTTGTAGCAATGCTGCCCATTTAAATGTTCTTCTATTAGTATTCTTCATAAAACCTGAGAACTCATATATAGAATTCAATTAAGCTTGGGTTCTCTACAGTAGACAGCTCATATCTCTGCCCCAGAACCTATTAAAATATAAAATCTAATAATTGTTTCAATGTATAATGAATTTCTTTTGGCTCTTATGCAAGTTAATGGCATAAAATATTGTGGTATAGGTGGGGTTTGATCATAAAAGTGGCAGCAATTAAACTTTGAGGTTGCCCTCAGAACTGTCTGCAGTTGTCTTTATTGGCAAAAATAAAGAGGTTTTTCCCCTCAGGTACAGCTATGTAGAAAGCATTCCGCAGAATGGAAAACCAAGCTGTTGTATATTGAATGAGAAATTCTTTGATTATATATGTACATCAAACCCTCTTCTCTTCTGTCGTCTTCCCAGGAAAATCGTAGTCTCACTATCAAATTAAGAAAACGAAAGCCATCCAAGAAGGTGGAATGGTCAAGTGACACAGTGGACAACGAGCACTTGGGACGGAGATCTTCCAAATGTGAGCACTGCCATTCTCTACCATTGTTTCTTAAAATTCTTCCCCCTCAGTTGTATTTCTCCCAATGTGAGTGCAACATCCAGGGTGCACTAATTGAGGCTAACTCATTTTTTTACATTTTCTTAATCCATCCCTTTCTCCAAGGATGCGTTCATCTAGATTGTTGGCTTTAGGGTTACTCTCAAGTATTCTTAAAGGCCATATCACTCTTCTGTAGACTGGTCACCTTCTAGCATATAATATCAGAATATAAGCATAGGTAATGAGATCAAATTCCACAGTGTATGGACAAACTAGTGGAAATAGAGGAATAATTCCTGGAAAAACAGGTGGAGTCCTGTATCATCATGTATCCTGGCCTATACATACTCCACTTGTCCTGTACTGGTAAGCCACTTGCTTCAATTGACCTGTTCCATGGTTGCTTCTTGATAATGTTTAGAATATAATCTTAAACTTCAGTTGGGAATGATAAGCTTTGAGGACACCAGGTTGCTTATGACATTGTAGCCTGGAGGGGATACTAATTGCCTCAATTAACCATAGGTACTTAGCAGTACTTACTGGAAATTTGATGAGAAGGCATCTTGAGATGATCACAGGAGGATAGAGATATTGCTATAACAATAACTTAATTAACTGGAGAGGTGCTATTTGTCCTGTTTCTAATTTCTCCCTGCTGTTCCCTGGCCAAATAAATGAGCAACAAGAATAATTACTACATAATTCAAACATCATGTAGACAGAGTCTCTACTTTTCCTTGGTGAGTTGGGTCTAAAGAGGCGAAGAGATTGCTGTATCTTTTCCATCCTGGCACCAACATGTATCAGAAAAATGAATTATTTGCTCTTGACTATGCTGATCCCTATAGATTCATATGGGATAGAGAGGAATGTTCTGAGTTTGAAGAAAGTCTGCATAGTCCTTTCATTTTCCAAAAGTGAGAATTGTTGGTAGATAAAACGTGACTATTCCTTTGTCTCCTCTTCCATTGATGCAATTGCTGTTGAATTATTATATTTCTGTGCTTATCTCTCTCATGTTTTCTTCCTCTCCTTCCTTCTGTTCTTCCTTCTTCACTATCTGCCATTTCCTTCAATTCCTTATCTTCGTGCATCCAATATTTCCACTTTGTATATTTCCACTCATTCTGCATTTTATTAAACACTGTCCCATGCTGTATCAACGCTCACTTTCCTCCGCATTCACAATGTCTCTTTATTCTTGCTTTGTTCTTTTTTGGGTGTGTTCCACCTTTGTAATGTCCTCTGTTGCCTCTTGAGTCCTTTTTACCTTCCCTTCTTTGCCATTCCTCTCCACTTCTTCCCTTTTCTCAACACAGGCTGCTGCATCTACGAGAAGCCCCGGGCTTTTGATGAGAGCTCAACAGAGAGCGAAGATGAGGACGATGAAGGCTGTGGCAATGCCCATTGCATCCGAGGCCACAAGAAAAGCCAGCGGGGGAAGGCACCGTCTAAAGCAGGAGATGCTGGTCCAAAGGAGAACAACTCCAAGAAGGTGGAGCTACCTGACCAAAACCATGCGGGGGCCATGCAGCACTGAACCAGACTTGGCCATGGGGCAGAGAAGGAGCTCCTCAACTCTCCCCCAAGGAAGGACTGACACTGCCCCAACTGAGGCGAGGGATGAAAAGAAGGGAAGGCCTATACATCCAGTTCTCAGCTGTCTTGTGCTGGTGCTGCCTTGACTGTGGGTAAGGGGGAGGGAGGGGCACTCACACCCAGCTCCACGCCTGTCTTGTGTCAGTGCTGCTACTGTTGTCTCTATCCATCCGTGGCTGGTGAGTCTGTCTGGTGCCACCCATCCTCACCCTGCCCAACGAGGAATGTATTGACAGGACCTTCTTGGGTACTGTGGCTGATTTTTTTTCCCCCCCTCCACTGCAACTTAATTAAATATTTGTTATCGGTGATGAATATGACGGGGATTGGGTCTGCTTTGAGAAGAGCAGTGATAGAGCTTCGACCAAGATCTTTCCTCCTTCCCCTTGTCTTCCTCACTATCTCCGGTTTCTTCCTTTATTGCAGGCTCCTTTCCCATTGGTCTTTTTTAGCTCTGTGTAAGAAACCTACAGTCCACTTGGTTAATCCGTGCTTGCATTCTTCTTTTGCACTGAGCCTGCATCACTGTCACTGTCGGCTCCACTGCCTCCCACTTGCAGACTCACTCAGTGCAAACTCACTCTGACATAAAGCTGCCTTATAAAGATGCAGTCATTGGGTCCCTCCACCTTCTCAGGCTCCTAGTTCCTGGAAAAGGGTAGGTGTTGATTCCACCTCATCAGTGATAGCACGACAGTCTCCACTTGTCTTCAGGTATCTTCTTAAAAGGACATTTCCTCTCCCCCCCACGTGTTTTTTTTTAATTTTTCTTACATAAACCATCTCTAAGAATTCTTAGTAGTAGGAATGAAAGGTATGGAGAGGGTGCAAAAGACATGGGAAATGGTTGGAAACATCGTGGGTCTTACTGATTTGGAGTTGAGGTGAAATTGAAAATGTAAACTAGAAAGATGTAAAAGAGGTGAACGTTGTATGCACAGGCTGATGTATGGACTCAAAACACAACAACCCGGGAAGTTGGGCCCAGTCTGAAAACCAATCCCACGGTCCCCTTGCACAATCCCCGTATATTCCATTGCTTGGGCAGAAGTTCATATTAAGTATGACCTTTCCTGAAACCACGGGGGATTCCGCTGGAGCCTAAGGAATGGGACCTTCCGTTGCATGAACATTTTATTATTCTGGCTACCCGTGGTTTGATGTGGGAGAATTGTACATTCTCAAAATCTTCCTCTTTCCTCCGTGTGTTTATTTTAGCACCCTGCTGATTAAAAATATCACATTCCACAAGAAATGTTCACAGCAGTGTGGCCTTTTTGACAGGTAAGCTCAGTTTAGTCAGCCTTACAGCAGGTATGTTTCTCAGCAGCCATGATGAACTACTTTTTTCAGAGATTAAAGCTGAAGGTGCATGAACATTCTCGGTGGAAACCTTTAAAATAAGAAGCCAATCTTGCCCCCTAGTGAGGTTTAACCCCCCTTAATTCTTGTATCACTCATTTGCCGAAGTGGGTTCTTGGCTTAGGGAGAAGTCTGTGCGGGACAGTTTGGGTTTCAGAGAAAGCCTCTTGTATTTTGTGTTCTCACTAGATAAAATTTGGTTTACAAAATAACAGAAGAAGGCTGGACCTCCTGGCATTTTGTGATAAAACTCATAGTTAGCCACTATTTTTAGGCAAGTTGCATGGCACAATTGGATAAATATTGTAGTTGGTTGAGCTTATGGACTTCATTATGTGCTCTTTGCTTCCCCTCCCCCCCACAATACAAACTCTACAGATGTACAGATCTGGGCAGGCTATATAAGCTTCTATATAGTATTACTGTCTTTTGTTTTCACCAGAGAAGTAAGATATATGTTTGCTCACAATCAGCTGAGAAAATAGATTGTGCCTCCGTGACTGGCATATTTCATAGCAAACATGTTGCAAAACAGGACATTGGATGGACTGGCCCAGCAAACACAAGAATTGCTGTATAAAATGCTATAAAATATATTTACAGGAAAGCACAAAATTGGGCAAATTGACTGGGAGGTCATTTAGACAGTTTCTTGTTGGCCTTGTTGGAAAATAGAATGTTCATATTTTTTAAAAGCATTAACGTTTATAGTATAGATTCATGCATTTGAACTGGCTTCCTGGATCCCTGCAGTAGCCTAAGAAACATGGTGCTGAATTTAAACACCACCACCATCTCAATGCGGTGCACTACAGAGTGTCAAATTTTGCATATGACATATTTGTATCAATTTTTCATACAGCAATTCTACTTCATTCAATAAAAGTCATGCCTGAGCTGCCCAACGTATTTATCTGAGGATGGTGACTTTAACATTAAAAAGTTTAATAGAAATTACATGCATAGTATTATAGAAAATTGGTAAGCATTGACATTAGGAGACCAGAAACTCAAAAGAAGAAGTTTTTCACCCTCTCAACTTGTAAGCCTTCTTATACCCTTTCAATTTCAACAATTAAGATTTTGCTTGAAACCCCGAGAGTTAGGATTTTTTTTTTTCCTGTTTTAAGACATTCCTGAAATAGCTCTGATCTATTTAGTACATTACCATGTATCGCCAACCAAAGTCACTAGCTACTTGGATAAAAATAGTTTAATGGTTTTGATGATTTTTCTACAACTCTCCCCATTGCTGGGAACTGCTGCTTGTTGGTAGTCCTAACGCTGGGAAGACGCCCTGTTTTGAAAAACTATGCCAGACTGTCAAGTTCTTGCATCCTGAAGAAGCCTGTGCCAAAGTTAATGGTTTGAATACTTAAATTGTATGGATTTTGCTGGTTGACATGCCCGATTTGTGTTCATTTGGGATATTTGGAACTGTGGGAAAGCTGCCTTGAGCTTCATGGAGAAGCAGAATATAGGTATACTGAAGAATAAAATGTCTGTTCAATGAATAAGATACAAAGTTCTTCAATGGATGTCCCTCTGAATATAATGCTTTATCTTGAACCGGTAACTAAGGTTTTAAGCCTTTTCCTAAGTTAAGGGTGGGCAGTCTGATTCTCAGCAGCACCTGGTCCCCACAGTATGAAAGATTACAAGTTCCCTGTGTTTCTGAGAAGTCGCCAGCAACCCAGGGGAAGATTCTTGCCTTACCCTGCCCTAGCAGTATGGCAGGCACTCCTGTTTTAAGTGTTTGTGCATTTCAGCCAGGAAAGTTAGTTTACTTTCACCATCCCACAAGGCATTAGGAAAAACATGTAGTTCACTTGCAGGCCACGAATTTTGTATGTACAGAACCCCCAAACCAAGACCTCTAGCACAAATATGAAATAGGTAGATATTATTTTTATAGACCAAGAGGGGGAGCATGGTCACCAAATAAGCATAGTTCTAAGTTCACAAGCATGTGGAGAGTAAAGCTAAAAATTGCTGGGATGAATGTGTTAAACATGAGTTTATTGAGTAATTCCTAGCTTCTTGGTTCCTTCACAGCCCAAGCCAAAATCAGAGAAGACACCGTGTGGCTTAATACCTTGTGTCGGCCTCTCTAGAATTAGTTAAGATAGCTTTATACTGCCCCTTGGGGTCAGAAGGAGCATAGTCTTGAAAATTTAATTATTGGAGATCGCATATCCTGCTTGAAACCTTAAAATATGTGTTTTCTAAGAAAGTTGGGCTGGATAATGTTTGTTGTGCTGTTTTTATAATGTGGCAGATATTTCAGTGTCTAGGGCAGTGATGGCTAACCTTTTGGGGCTCCTGTGCCAAAAATTGTGCGCGCATTAGCGTGTGTGCACTCGCATGCCAGCACCCAGAATGCAATGGGTGCCCCCCCGCGCATGCACGTGAAAATTGACCCCGCCACCCCACCACCACCCTGTTACCTGCACTGTGCCTCACAGCTGATTTTTCAGCTGGTTTGAGGCCTTTTTTGGCTTCCCAGGGGCTTGGAAAAAGCCTCTGCAAGGCTTTTCAGGACGAATAATATGCCCGTTTTATCACTTCCGGTATTACAGTGACAAAACGGGCCTATTTGTCCTGAAAAGCCTTGCAGAGGCTTTTTCCAAGCCTCTGGGAGGCCGAAAAAGGTCTCAAACCAGCCAAAAAATCAGTTGTGAGGCGCGCACATGCACAGTGAGGTAAGTTTGCTTGTGATTCGTGTGGCGGCACAAATGGCTCTGAGTGCCACCTGTGGCACACGTGCCATAGATTCGCCATCATGGGTCTAGGGGCAACCTTATTGTTGACCTCCCCCCGTTTTGGATCTGGTACTGCTTATAAGCAGTTCGGTGTGCATTTTGCACTTTTAGAATCTGAAAGTAATATAAATTCCACCTCAAGCATAAAGGTCTGTTTTGCATAATTGATTCTACAATGTTTGACTTGCCTACCTCTGGGATTAGTCATGTCAAAAAGCAAGAGCTATGCAGTCACCATATATGGCTCTGTTTTGAACAAAGTATATTGTAGATTCAGCAGTGATCATGCCATGAAACTGCTCAGTTTTAACTGGCAGGTTGTGCTTTTTACCTTTTTCTGGTGTTTCTTCCCTTCACAGGGAAGCATGATCATAACAGCAGATGGATGTCAGCTGCTGTTTACATATGGCATTTAAGAAAGCAGGACAAGGACATTTAACTCAAAATGCTGCAGAGAATGCAAATATCTCGATGCTACCCAGCCTGTCTTCTGCCAGATCATTATTATCCATCAGGCAGTGGCAAGGGAGCCAGTTGCAATGAATGACATCATTACTCAAGATCAAAATTACAAAGCCGTGCCTGCCATTTCATTTCTCACATTAGCAACTCACATAGGCCATGCAGAAGCTTAAAACTACATTGTAAGGGGTAAATCCCTCTAAATAAAAATACAAACTTTGGGACACACATAGAAAAGATTTGGCTTCCAATGAAAGCCTGGATATATCCAGCTAGGTAGAGATTAGCCATTGGCAAAAGGTCAAATTGTGTGAGAAATGTAGGATTCTAGGCTGGCTGTAAGCTACATTGCTTAGACATCTTTCAAAGCTGGTGCTATGGGTTGCCTCTTTCTATTTAAACCAGGCCTGTTCCTATGACTTTTAAGCTGAACCTGCAGACGTTTACCAGCTGATCCCTCCCATTTCTCTTATCTCACAAATCCTTGGCTCAGGTTAAAATGATAAATGATGTGGCTCCTGAGTTTGCTCAAATTCTAGAACCAAGATGAATGACCACTCAGTACAGGAGAATTATTGGTGTGGGGAGAACCATTTAAAATGCCCTACTTCGAATGTTTCTTTTGAGCAGCTGCAGGCGCACAACTCTAGTTTGCTTTTATTTGTGGCTTCCAGATATAGGACAAAGATTAAAAAAAGAAATAATTAAAAACTGGGAGGAACATTTCTCCTGTGAGACTTCAAAAGGTTTAGCAGTCTTCTCCCCACTTCTTTTTTCCTGTTGTTCCTTCCATTTCCTCGATAGGGTGCTCTGCTCAGCTCCAGGTGAATCCCTTTTATCTTCCTATCTTTTCCTAATAAAAAGGTACTTTTAACAGCTACAAAAACTACCGCTGAAGTTTTTACCTGCCTAGGTAATATAAGAATATACCACTTTCATCCATGGGATTTCTAGATTAGGCTAATCATAACTGACCAACAAAACCCCAGCCTTTGTGTTTCCCTGCTGCCATCCGCTGCTTATCCAGATTCCTGCCTCCCAAATACACTAGTACAGATAGTCCTTGACTTACGACCTGTCACTTAGTGACAGACTTCGTATGGGGTTCTTGCAACCATGGTCACAGGACTGCACTCTGGATGCTCAGCAACCTGGTTGCATGTACAGTTGTTTGCAGGACCTCACAGTTATGTGACCATGTTTTATGATGGGTAGTTTGTTTGTTTTTTAATGAAATTTACTTCCAGTTTTTGGCAAAACCAGCCCATGAAGAATCATTGGTTCGTTCAACCACTTAACAGCCATCACAAAAGTTGTAAAATCGGATCAATCTGATGGGTGTCCCTGATTTTTGACTGTGTCACGACTTTGGGATAGGTAGGCTCTGTTAGTCATAACTTGAGGACTACCTATAATATTCTAGAAACGGAGCTGATGTTTAAAATGACAAGAGCACTCCCTTGAAATGGGAGGAAAAGCAGTAGCGGTCGTTGCAAGAGAAATCTTCAGTGTTTTGCACGCCTTTGCGTTCTCCAAGCAGCTTCCATGCCAACATCAGATGGAAACTGGCTGTGCTACAGTAATTGGGTTGTCATCTGCCTTAAAATATATCGTTCCCGCATGCTGAGGCAGAGAGAGAGACCATGCTCATGTAGGAACAATTAAATAGGTATTTGAACAGGCCCCAACTTCTGGGATGTATCTGAAGCTAGGCTTTGCCTGAAGGGCCTTTTAGCAATGCATCATAGTTGGAGGAGAAGGTAAATTTGTTTCAGGAGGTTTTCTACTTGTTTTCCTGCACTTGAAAGTGATCTAAGGTCAAGGCTCCCTGAAGTTGAGCTCATCTCCTTTTGACTCTATGGGTGCGTTCATGTCGTTTGTCTTGGCATGTGATTGGAAGGGAGGCTTTTTTTCTTTTTGTAGTTGTTGCTTTCTTCCTGAATGTGGTTTTCCTTCTCGGTTTAGCCTCAAGCCCTGGGGTTTCTAGTGGTCTCCCATCTCAGTATTAACCTGGCCTGACCCTGCTGATCTTTCTGGGGTTAGCCAAGGTTGATTAAGTGCTGCCACTATCTGCTGTGTTTTCCCATATTTAGTAGATCACAACTCCCATAAATAGCAGGCATTTGCTTCTGCGGACCAGCCCCTCCGTAAATGATTGCATAAATCCAGCTGGTTAAGCAGTGGGTCTCTAAGCAGTTTCCTTTAAGTCTAGGTCAAGGGTTGGCAACCTTGAACACTCCATTTGGACATATTTCCCACAGAAGAGAAAACACAGGGAGCCACAAAACCTTTCCCATGTCTGACTATTTTCTGAGTGGCTACAAAACTAGCATATATGGTTGAAAAGATTCTGTTTTCTTCTGAAACTTTTCTTTTCTTGGATTTATCCATTGTTGGCCTACCGGGGGTCAAAAAGCTCAATAAATCACACGCCTAAGAGTGTCACACATTGGCAGGTGTGATGCATATTTTGAGTGATAGGGAGCTGTAGCTGAGGGATGAAAGAGCCACATGCAGCTCCAGAGCCGCAGGTCAACCTGGTCTAGGTTAACCCCACCCCCGTTTTGTTTACATGTCAAGATGGTGATGGCAAATCAAATCAAATATATTGATTGGCTTCACACATTGTATTAAACCATATTCTCTTTTAATGAAGATTTCTTAAATATGACACAAATGACTAGGTTCATGGCTTTAAGCCACAGTCACACCAAACACATTCTGGCTTGGCTCCACTGCAGAATTACGAATGAATTGAAACAATTCTATATTTACATAGCTCTGTAGAATGAACACCTACTTTATTTCTTTCTTCATCTCCCCAGTTTTAGCAGTTAAACTGTTAAAAGTGATTTATCGGCTTTCTAGAACTCCAGTGTGTTTAGTAACAGCATCAGGTTGGACACCTGTGGCTTTTCTAAAGGGATTGGGAAAACGTTTTGGTACCTGCTGCTAGAAATACCAGAGGTGGCGATGAAGGAAAAACAGTGTTTGCACAATCAGAGAAAGGACTATTCTCCTTTTCCAGCCCCATTTTTGTAGCCTAGTCCCGATTCCCATGTTTACTATCAGTAGTCCTCGACATAATGACCACGATTGCGATTGGAACTTCTGCACTAAGCAAAGTTTATGATCTTTTTGCAGTGATCCTTAAGCAAATCGCCCAGCTGTTAAGGAAACCGGGCTTCCCCCATTGACTTTGCTTGTTGGAAGCAAGCTAGGAAAATCACAGATGGCAACCATGTGATCCCAGGACACCCGCAAACATCCTAAAGTGCTGGCCAAATGCCAAAACGTTGATCATGTGACTGTGGCGATGCTGCAATGTAGGTGCAAGGACTGATTGCCAGTCACTTTTTTCACTAAACAAACGGTTGCAAGTTCAAGGACTGCCCGTATTGTGTCGCTATTAGAAAAGCCGGAGCACCCCAAAGATGGTAGCATTTGTAATCAGTGTTTTGGATATCTGACCTCCTGTATTGCAGAGTGATTGATTGTCCACATTTTTACAGTGCACAGCCTAGAGCCTCTTGAGGGCTTACATCAAGGATTGTATATCCTGCACTGTTGATATCTGGGAGTGGGGGGGAAAATCATTTAAATGCTGTACAAGGATCAACTCCAGAGTTACACTTTCAATGGTTATTATTGAAAATCCCAACCCAACATCTGCAAGAAGATGCCATAGCGGTCAGGCTTTTGATTTGCTCTTGGTTTTACATTCAGTCCAGTGCCATGAAAAACCCGCATACATTTACAGTCAAGCACAAATTAAAAATCATTCTGTTATAGATAAAATAAAAATCCAATATTAACTATATGATAGTGGTGCAGTCCTCTTATTCATGCATTTTGGTATTATTCAATAGAGGAACCAAAAAATGCATTAATTCATTTTAAAATTTAAAAAGGCAAACAAAGGTAGAACACTTCAGATAACAATAGCAATAGCACTTAGGGTTAGGGTTTCCAGCCCTCTCTAAGCGGTTTACAGAGTCAGCCTATTGCCCCCAACAATCCGGGCCCTCGTTTTATTGACCTCAGAAGGATGGAAGGCTGAGTCAACCTTGAGCCAGTCAGAATCGACCTCCTGGCTGTGGGAATGCAGAGTTAGCCTGCAATACTCCATTCTAACCACCGTGCCACCACTTTTGGCAGACTCTGGCTCAACTTTATAGAAACTGGTTGACATCAGTGATGTTTCTTTCCCCCAAGTCCTAATGTTTCCACCTCTTGATGGTTTGAGGAATGATCGTACAGTGATCTTCAGCGAATGTGATTTCATGCCAAAAATGCTATCATTTTTGCTGCCCCTCGAAGATCGGCATAGAATGGGTTTGTGAATAATATTCAGCTGGTATTTGTTCTTGTCTGTTGAACGAGCCATTGAAGCCTGATCTGCACTTTTCTCCTAAGCAACAAACAGACCAGGTTACCACACTAATCCACACTGTGGTGGCGTTGGTATCAAAGTAAAAGAACAGCTTGCCTCCTGGAGTTGTGGGTGCTCAATTGCTGGAGGTTTTCAAGAAAAAATTGGACAGCCACTTGGCTGGGATAGGACAAGGTCTCCTGCACTTGAGTAGGATTAGTAAACTTCCAGGGCCCCTTCCAGCCCCTTTTGATTCTATGAATGCAAAAGGTGGAAACAGTTTCCATCAGGAAAGAAGATGAGGGAAAGTGACCAGTGAAATGAATTCCAGGAGTGAAATGGTAGACAACTAACTCAAGAAGCTCAGACAAGCCAAAGCCCACTATCTCCCTTCAACTCTGACACAGGTGACTTTAACATGGAGCTTCCTCCTGCCCTGGACTTGAAGATTAAAGATACATTGCCCACAATATTCTGTTAGTTTACAGGAAAATTACACACGTTACAGCTTTTTGCTGACGGGGACTGCTCCTGGTAGCTGTGGCAGGGATATATTGGTTGCCACACAGGTTTGGTGAAATTGCATCATATACCTTTTGGAGGATTACAGCTCCAGTGCCCTGGTTTCCTATCCTTGCCTGACATCAATTCCCCCTTTCCAGATTAATTTTCGATCTAGATTCAGCAGCAACCTAAAAGACGAAACCCCACAAGCTTCCTTCTGTCATGTCGCCCATATCTAGTGACATTTGGAGGAGGCAGACATGGGTTTTTCCAGAGTGCTGATTAGAGCTTCGAAGTCTTGGCCTTGAAGCAAAGGCATTTCCATCCAAAAATCTGATCTGCTCAGTTATGGGTGGAACTAGAGGCAACTTCAATCCTGAAATTTGGTTCTACTGTTAAGGTTCTGTTGAAGTGGATATGAAGAAGTGAAGTCCAGATGTTTCCAGGCATCAACAAAGGACATTTTTCTCAATGTATCCAGAATTCAGGACTGGCAGCCATATTAACTTCTCCATCCCTTCCATGCAGTGGGTTTTGGAAAACAGTCACTTGGAAGAGCTCTTGGTTGACTATTCAGGTGAAAATGGGTGGTGAAGGTATCCAAACATTAGCTATGTAGAGGAAAAAAAGAAAGTATAAATTGGAAAGAATGGAAACATTCACCTTATTGTTTTATACCAATGTCTCAATGGAGAATCAGAGGCCATTTATAGGGGAGGTTGCCCTTTGGCATATAAGCTGATGATATGACACATTCATACCCTGCTAACTTGCATTTGTATCTAGGTGAAGTTCAGTAAATGTTAACCTTGTTTTGTTTTTTGTAGCTTAGTGTTATGGTTCAATATATTAGGCTGTTGTGATATCACTTGGTGTTTACAGGACTGACAGTCACTCCCCAGCCAAAGAAATATACATCACACACGTTTCAAGCAGAACCTTCCTAAGAAGAGCTGGCCAGTGTACCACATAGCCAAATAATCCCCTCATAATTTCTCCCTGGCCACGTGGAAAAGCTTTGGTTATTTTGGAAATGGTAAACAATGTTCTAACAAGAAAAAGACAAAGCAGAAGCTGTGAGCTGAAATGGAGGCGTGGGAGAAAGACAATCCAAAATCAAGCTGACTAAAACTGGAATAGGTAGGAAGAAAGACTTTTCAGGTGCTGTAACAAAGGGACACAGAGGTAATACCTCTTCAAAATCACCCATTCTCAACTGCGTTTAAGTTTGTGGAGCGGGGTTTGGTTTATTTAAATCTAATTTATTGTTTCTGGTACTGTTTCTGGTATTGTTTCTACTGTCTCTGTACAAGCTCAATCACTATGTGTTTTTATGCAACTTGGACTTTTTTTCATCAGTTTTATTTATTCATGCCACTTGGCTTACATCCTGCACCCAATCATTCTCTGATTGTGACAGGCTTACATTCCAAACATGTATAAACAAGGTCAAAATAACAAATGATAAGAATAAATAATATAAGTAATAAAATATTCTTATGTCAAGGAGATATATGCCCTATATATTTTTCCACAGATCATTTTCCCTCAAAGGCCTGTTGAAATAGACAAGGTTTAATAGCTTTTATGTATGAACAAATACAGTCATTCTCTATTTTGATTTTCTTCATCACTGAATGCTTTGTGAGTAAGTACTCCAGGTTAAAAAGCAATGCTGACATTCTCTCCCTTTTTAAAGTAAATCTGATTCATTTTGAGATTGTCTATCTTCCCCGACAAAGAAGAGAAAGCTTGATTTTTCTAGCTTCAATCTCAGTGTTACACTTTCACTTAGTTGGTCTTAACTGTGATTGCTAAATGAGAATTACCTGTATGTGAGAGAAATAAAGCCTCGCATTTGACAAAAAAAA